AGCATCACCACGAGCTCCGGCAGTGCCAGCACCTCTAGCACCAGCAGTACCTCCAGCACCTCCAGTGCCAGCACCTCCAGTAGCACCTCCAGCACCTCTAGCACTAGCAGCACCACCTGCTCTGGCAGCTCCAGCACCTCTAGTACGAACACCTCCAGGACCAGCAGCTCCAGCACCTCCAGTACCTCCAGTACCTCCAATGCCAGCGCCTCCAGCACCAGCAGTACCTCCAGCACCTCAACTGCCAGCAGCTCTAGTAGCACCTCCAGCACCTCCAGCACCAGTAGCACCACTTGCTCCAGCAGTTCCAGCACCTCTAGTACGAGCACCTCCAGTACCAGCGGCTCCAGCACCTCCAGTACCTGCAGCACCAGCACCTCCAGTGCCAACAGCTCCAGTAGCACCTCCGGCACTAGCAGCACCACCAGCTTCGGCAGCTCCAGTACCTCTAGTAAGAGCACCTCCAGGACCAGCAGCTCCCGCAACTCCAGCACCAGTAGCACCAGCACCTCCAGTGACAACAGCTCTAGTACCCCCAGCACCTCAAGCACTAACAGCACCACCAGCTCTGGCAGCTCCAGCACCTCCAGTACGAGCACCTCCAGAACCAGCAGCTCCAGCACCTCCAGTACCTCCAGCTCCAACGCCTCCAGCACCAGCAACACCTCCAGCACCTCCAGTACCAACTGTACCTCTAGGACTAGTAGGTCCAGCACCTCTAGCACCAGTAGCACCTCTAGGACTAGTAGCTCCGGCACCTCTAGCACCAGCAGGACCTCTAGTACCTCCAGCACCTCTAGCAGTACCTCCAGTACCTCCAGCACTAGCAGTATCGCCAGGACTAGCAGCTCCAGCACCAGCAGAACCGTACCCTCCACCACCAGGACTGCCTCGCCGAACGATCCACGCACGAATCGCCTGCGGCGAGAGCGTCTCAAGTACATCAGGCTGCGGTGGCTGTCCAGCTCCAGGACCTCCAGCAGGGTCACCCACAGCTCCACCGCCACTAGGACTTGCAGTACCCCCAGAGTCAGCACCCCCAGTCGCAGCACCCCAAGAGCCAGCACCCCCAGTCGCAGCATCCCCAGAACCAGCACCCCCGGTCGCAGCACCCCCAGAACCCTCACCCTCTGTCTCAGCACCCCTAGGCTCAGCACTAGCAGTCTCAGCACCAGAGTCCACAGCAGCAGGCTGCGGGTGTGGCCTGTAGTAACAGACAGACTCGTCAAAGGTGACTTCCTGGGAGGAGAAGACTCGACGCGAGCGCGGGTGGTAAAACTGCCATGGCGGGGCGTCAGTGGGGAAGCCAAGGAAGACGCAGCGGAGAGTGCTAGAGGAGAGCTTGCTCGCTTTGGCATCGCGAACAAGGGAGAGCGCGCCCAGACCCGAAACACTGACGCATCGCCAACCTTCCCCGTCCACCGGAGTGTGGGCGAGGTCTCTGGCTCAGAGACACGGGGCCAGAGGTTGAGCTGATGCACTGCGTATCGGACCGCAAACGACCACAGAAAATGGGGAGCAGCCGCATGGATCATGGAGGTATGAGCAACCTCCATGATCAAGCCAATGCGACGCTCAGCAATCCCATTTTGCTGAGGAGAGGCTGGAAGCGTGAATGACTGGCGGATGCTCTCGTCTCGACAGAAATCCGCAAGGAGGTCAGAAGAGAACTCACCGCCCCTGTCAGAGTGCAGACGCAGGACTGGGAAGTCCCGACGAAACCGCTCGCGCAGCTGGCGACGAGTAGCACGGATCCACGGGATCAAAACACCGCTGACGTCTACCTTGCGCCGCAAGGGGAAGACAGTGGTATAGTGTGCGTAGTCGTCAACAACCAGCAGGAAGTAGCACTCCTCGTCCGTCTCACCGATGGAGGCCGGGCCCCAAACGTCCATGTGGAGAGTCTGCAGAGGAGCAGTGGTCGGAGGAAACTTGGAGGAGTGAGGAGCGGCGCGCTGCTGCCCCTCGATGCAGGGAAGGCACGGCGGGGCAGGCGAGCGCGGGAGGGAGGGCAGGGACATGGGAAGGCCAGAGACAAGGAGACGAGAGTGCATGCTGTGGAGACGCGGCAGCGAGGGGTGACCTAGGCGGTGGTGCCAGAGGAGAGTCTGGTGAGAGAGTACCCGACACGAGCAAGACGCTGCAAGCTGACCAGACGCAGACACCCGACTCGGCGCAGCCACGTGACCTGACTCAGCCACCTGTGCAGACGCAGTGGTCAGGGTGTACAGACCGGACCCAGGCTGGCGAGTGAACGTAGTAAGGTGACGGCCAGACCGTGAGCAGTTACAGATCGCCACACTTTATCCTCCAGGAATGAAGGTGTCAGCCCATTCATCCTGGAGAACTGCGTTGCTCAACAAGTTCGTCGAGAGCGCGGGGAGGTGGAGACCTGAGAGAGACCCGGAGGGGACTGCCGGACACGGGAGGACAGTGGAGGCTCGCGCTACTACTGGGCCCCCAGTGGGGTCGGCCAGTGAGACTGGGACAGGTGCTGCGAGTGGTGTGACTGTGGTGCAATCACGAAAGAAGCAACGTGACGCGCCTGAGTCAAGCGTGAAAGTGTGCAAGGCCTCAGTTGAGGTAGGACCTGTGGCAGTAGACGCACTAGCACCAAGAGCGTCGGCAGACTCACGAGCACCTAGAGCTGCAGCAGACTCACCAGCACATGGAGCGACAGCAGACTTGTCAGAATATTATGCTCTAGCCTGTAGTGGGGTGCTCTATAGCGAGTACAACTCTTCTAGGGTTTTGCTATTTGTATCCCCATTCTTGCTAGTGCAATCCTCTTCTTTCTTCTAAACTTTAACAAGACTCACTAGAACCGAGAGCAGCAGCCTCTACACGACCAGTGACGCATCGCTGAGAAGCACAGTCGCGAGGTCGCTGAGGCCACATAAAACCAAAACCTCCATCACCAGGACTACCTCGCTGAATAACCCACTCACGAAGCTGCTGAGGGGTGGGGTCGTCCGGGAGAGGCAGTGACCGCTGCTGTCCACCCCTAGCCGCTGCAACTGCCGTGATAGTGGCCATGATAGGCAGTGACGGTCAGTAGTAGGTCCAGCACCTCCAGCACCAGCAGCACCTCCAGTACTCCCAGCCGCACCTCCACCAGCAGCGGCAGTAGTAATAGCAGCATGGCGGCTCAGTGGGGCTGGGCAGCGGCTCCTCCAGCACTCCCAGCAGCACCTCCACCAGCAGCAACAGTAGCACGAGCAGCAGCAGCAGCAGTAGCGCGCTGGGCAGCAGGGCGTGCTGTTTTTTTTTTTTTTTTTTTTTTTTTTGATAATAATTATTATTTAGGGTTGCGGGGTGCGCTGGCGCGCTGGGCTGCGAGGCGCGCTGGTGCGCTGGGCTGCGGGGCGCACTGGCGCGCTAGGCTGCGGGGCGCGCTGGCGTGCTTAGCAGCGGGGCGGGCTGACCCGCTGGGCTGTGGGGCGCGCTGGCGCGTTTAGCAGCGGGGCGCGCTGGCGCATTTAGGCCTGCGGGGCGCGCTGGGCTGCGGGGCTGCTCGCGGGCAGAAGGGGCGCGCAGGGCAGGGGCTGCTCGCGGGCAGCAGGGGCGCTCGGGTCAGGGGCTGCTCGCGGGCAGCAGTGGCGTGCAGGGCAGGGGCTGCTCGCGGGCAGCAAGGGCGCTCGGGGCAGGGGCTGCTCGCAGGCAGCAGTGGCGCGTGGGGCAGGGGCTGCTCGCGGGCAGCAGGGGCGCGCGGGGCAGGGGCTGCTCGCGGGCAGCAAGGGCGCGCGGGGCAGGAGCTGCTCGCGGGCAGCAGGGGCGCGCGTGACAGCAGGGCAGCGCGCTAGGGCAGGCAGTGCGAGTAGCTGCAGGGCAGCGTGACAATGTGCGAGAGGGCCGGATAGCGCAAGGGCGCTTCGGGCAGGAACTCGCGGAACGATCGGTGAGCCCTAAAAACCTAACAGGTTTCCTGCTCTGAATACCATGTCAGAATCAACTGTGCAGGAATGATTGACTAGCAAGCAAGGATAAGTACAAGTACTAGGTTTGACCTAAAGTGTTGTACTCACTAGAGGCTACCCCACTACAGCCTACACATACAAATGTAATTCGACATCCCTCTCTTTCACTCTCCCGCACCCTCTCTCTCTCTCTCTCTCTCTCTCTCTCTCTCTCTCTCTCTCTCTCTCTCTCTCTCTCTCTCTCTCTCTCTCTCCTCCCCCCCCTCTCCCCCTCTCCGCTTATCCCCGTCTCCCCCTCTCCCCTTCTCCCCCTCTCCCCCTCTCCCCCTCTGCCCTTCTCACCCTCTCCCCCTCTCTCCCACTCTCCCTCCCTCTCTCATGCGCGACCATCAGTCATTTGCCAACTGGCAAAACAAATTTACCCCATTAGGATGGCACGCTTGCACCTCTGGAGGGATCACAACTTAAACGCAGGAACTGTTGCGTGTGGTCGTTTACCCCACCCCGATTGGGCAATCCGTTCCAATGGAGGTTTATTTGTTTCATGTCTAAGGCCAATTGGCAACCGGATCTTGAAAAATATCGCACGTCGATGCAAAACGCTCGGATCTCGGATATAAAGTGGCGAATTCAATATGAGATGTAGGTTTATTGTACAATAGTCCCACTGCATTCGAGATTTGTTGTGGTGTTAGCTGCTGTTATTAAAGTTGTTTTCAATTTCAGTCGTTGTATAAAGTTGGTTATTTTAGTCTCGGGTTTAGCTCACAGATTCACTCAAAATATTCGGCCCCGATAGTGCAAACCTAGAAAGCAAATGAAGAAACCAACGAGGTGTCCCAACTTCGGATGGTGTCCCTGGGTTGGAGTACGCCCTAACATTGAGATAGCTATCCTCTCTGTCCTCTACCTTCAGCAACAGCTATCTTCGTCCTGCCCAGCACTGCTCAAGCCAGCAAGTTCCGTTCGACGTGGAGGCCACTCTCTTAGTACGCCTTGAGCAGCCGCTGCAGTTCAACGATTGTTACTAATTGGGCTGGTCACAAGAGCAGCGATTAGGTTTTGCCCTGGTGAGGTCGTGGCATGGCGGGAAAAGCTGCGGCTCCTCAGGGGCTGCCCGATGGGATTGACAAAGACGAGGTGTGTCGTCTCCCTGTCGTGATCCTGTCCTCTCAGGCTTTCCTTGCGAATTTCGCCATAGCATCTCGGATCCTCGCGAGATGGGTCTCCGTTGAGAGTTCTCTCTGGGCTCAAGCCTGATTGGATCGTTGTTTCGCTGAGGTCTTGAGATTGTCTCGCGAGTTTCCGCAACCATGGCGGTTCGTTGCTACTTATTAGGGAGCCAGGTTTGTGACGCTGTACGGGATTCGTTAGGTTGCACGCTACTCGTCGCGTCAGCAGTCACGAGTCCCCTAACGCTATGGTAGCATGCAGCGGGTTGATTGCAAAATGAGGAGTTCTGATGCAATCGGATTCGAGTCTCATGCTGTGCGATCGACAATCTCAATTCTCGTGTCATTGTTTCGTCTTTATTGTTTTCCTGATCCACGCACAGATCTATGAGATGGCAGCTCAACAAATGGAGTATCGAGTGAGCCTATTCAACTCGTGAGTATCCACTTTCCAGATTTCGTTTGGAAGGACCCCACCCTTCATCCCTAATACCCCCCTAGCCCTTTCCCCACCCTTCATCCCTAATACTCCCCTAGCCCTTTCCCCACCCTTTATCCCTAATACTCCCCTAGCCCTTTCCCCGCTCTTTATCCCTCATACTCCCCTATCCCTTTCCCTCCCTTCCCCTTCCCACGCCAACGCCTCCTTTCTCCATCCTCTTCATCACTCTTTCCTCACATTTCCATCCTCGTCCCTCCCTCCTCTCGACGACTCTCTCCTTTCCCTCCCTTTCTCTCTCCCTCTACCTCGCTGCCTCGCACTTTCCCCCTCCCTCCACCAAGCCCTCCCATTTTTGCCGTTTACGTGTATGTATCAATGGGGCTGCCTGAATGTGCCAGCTCAGCATGCTCTCCCTGTGCCTGTCCGTCGTTTGCAAATGCCAACCACTCACTTTTTCCTTCCAACTGGGTTTTCCTTTTCCCATTTCCTTATTTGATGCCAATGGCAGCATGGTGGCAACCTGTTTTGACAAGTGCTATGAGAAGAAGTAAGTGGTAAATATGTCTTTCTGCTTTGCGTATACTGTAATATGGCTCACTGTAACTCACGTTGTGAGTTGCGTCTGTAAGATAGCGTGCAACAAGCGCTGACTCATTGAGTAAGGTGCTTTGATCCTTCAACCAGTTGTTGGGATACATTTCTGTAGCACGGATGTATGCATCGTTCTCTTCTTTGTAAGCCTTCTGTTTGCACTGATTCCTGCTGTCTACCATGCCATCCAATCAGGTACAAGGAGTCGGAATTGAATCTCGGAGAGACTAGCTGTGTTGACCGATGTGTTTCCAAATACTGGCAGGTGGGTTCAAATTCAAGCCAAGGATTCGTATTTTGATTTGTTTGGTTTATGTTTGTGTGTGCGGTCCAGGATTGACTTTTCGTGGCTGAATTGAGTTTATTTCTTGAGAGGTGCTGAGAGATTTCTAATGGTGGAGTTTTTTTCATGGCACCTGTGTGTAAAACAGGTGCGAGGGATTATTGGTCAATACCTTGGAGTTTCTGGCAGTGGGATGTAATGCTCTGCAGGGCTAGCATGTTACCAGCATAGTTTGGAGTTGGAGTTTCTCCATTAGTTCAATTCGCTGGCATAGTCACATACTGAAACGCGGCATCTCTAATCGCGTCTCTTTTGAGTTGTTGAAGTGCTTCCATGCTGGCGCTGCTGCAATTTCCAAGGCGTTCCCCACGGCGGTGCTGCTGATTTTCTCGACTGTTTCCCTCCAATCACCGCTGGCCACCATCTGACACAGGTACCGCACTTCCACTCAAGGCCCGCCAGATAATATCCAAAGGCTTTCCTTTTCCTCTCCGATACGCCTCTGCGGTCTTTTCGCAGCTTCCTCCTTGCAGACTTTCAGCCGCCCTGTTTGCCTATCGAACCACTGACCACCATGTCGAACCGCAAATAACACCGAGTTTTTCCACTTTCCAAGGCATCTCCAATTACTGCAGGAATTTCCTGGCTTTCCTGTCAGAGCCGCGACGTTGCTTGGCTGTTTCCTCGTCAAAGCCAGTGGCCGTCCCGCTGTCTGATAGTAGTGCGTCCCTAAAACGCTGCCGTAGTCTAGACCACCACGGCAGAACCGGGTTTTCTCAGAGGCGCAGACGTGAAATTGCAGAAACTACTGCGTAGAAATTGATAATTGTTCGTGAAACATATTGTAGTTGTTACCACTCCTGCTTTTCCCGTTGACCTTCCGTCCTCCAACGAAGTCCAGCACCACTTTTATTCCGCGGCCAAATACGCTCCGCCTCAGCGTTTCATATAGTACCATAATAATTTGAATTCCATTAGACGCGCAACGAACACAGCGAAAGTTCGCGCCATGACCCAGCCGATTAGCACCCAGCAGCAGCAGGCATCGCAGGAGGAGAGCGACGTTCCCCAGCTGCTCGCCGCGCTCCCCGTGTCCCCTCCGCCGCTCGTGGAGGGACCCAGCTCCGCGCTCGTGCGCCTGCTCTTCGCGGACCTGTCGGGCCAGCGCCGCGTGCGGGTGAGTAGCTCTCAAGAAGAGTCGTTCGCCTGAATTCTCGTTAAGTGATTGTTCCCAAGCAGCCGCTACCGCGCCTGCTCTTCGCGGACCTGTCCGGCCAGCGCCGCGTGCGAGTGACTTGAACCGCATTCCGTAAAGTCCCGTTCTTCTAAATTCTCTACAAGTAAAGGGTTACTGCTGCGGCTGGCTCGCATGCTCTTTCGCGAAGTGCTGATGAGCAATGCCACAATTGTTGAGGCAAACGAAATGCAAATGCTATGGGGGGCCCTTTCTTTTCACACGCTGATTTTTCACAAATCTGATAAAAGCTTCCGTGGGCATTGCGATGCCACAATGAGTGGCTGTCGCGACCACGAGAAGTCACGTCTTTCCAGCCCTTTTCCACCCTCCTGACTTTTACGTAACAAACCCTCCTTGCGATCTCCGCCAATCAGGTGGTTCCCTGGGACCGGTTCCGCACGCTGACGTGTCAGCAGGGGATAGGCCTGGCGCGCTGCATCTACGCGTTTGCGTCGTTCGTGGATGGGCCCGCCCCCGGGTGTGGTCTGTCCGCCGTGGGGGAGGTGCGACTCATGCCTGACGTCAGCACCCTGAGGACCCTCCCGTGGTTAGTAGGGTAGTAATAAGTGCCTCGGCATGCATCCTCGCATGCTCTTGGCATCACCCTGCCGGCCCTGCCATGCCTAAACATGAGGGGTATCTCTATCATGCATCAGTAGCTCCCTGCGCCTCAAATGTACCAGCAGCAACACCCTGTTCACTCTCCTCCTATGGATGTCTCCTGCCCCAAACCGCCCCATCCGGGTGTGGCCTGACCGCCATGGGGAAGGTGCAAGCAACTCATGCCTGACGTCAGCACATCACGCTGGCGTCAGCATCCTGTCCTCTGTTCCCAGTGGGGCGGGTTGGATGCTGGCTGGGGATTGCGGTGGGGTATGGGCGTAGGGACAGGACAGGTTGCCAAGGTATGACTAGAGCATCCATCATTCATCACCGCCTCCCTCCCCTTGCTAGGGGTTTTGAGCCGTCTCAAACCATTGCATGGCCACCATGACGTTTTTGCACACCTCCTCTGCTTACCTGCCTCAGCGTTTCCGCTCCGTCACCGCCTCCCTCCCCTCGCCAGGTGTCCCAGTCAGATGCTCGCATTGGTGGATGCACACGTGGCGCCAGGTCAGCCGTTTGCTGTGTGTCCACGCAGCACGCTGAGGAGAGTAGCAGCCTCGCTCAAGGACAGGTTCGGGCTGGTGAGTGGCCAGTCATAGCAAAAGATTAGCGATATTGAAGACTTGCTGTGAGTGAAGACCCACACAGCACGCTGAGGAGAGTGGCATGGTCGCTCAATAACAGGTTCGGCCTGGTGCGTGGGGGGGTTTTTATGCTTTTTGTTTTTGCTTGTTTGGGAGAAAAACTGAGATTGAGTTTTTGTGTGGCCCTCGAGAGAAAGGACGATGTTGGCTTCACTTCTCACAGAACACTGTGTGCTTGCGTGCTTGTGTGTGTGTGTGTGTGTGTGTGTGTGTGTGTGTGTGTGTGTGTGTGTGTTTGTGTGTGCAGGTGCTGAGAGCGGGGTTTGAGAGCGAGTTCACTCTCCTTCACTCCACGACCCCATCGTATGTACCATTGTACCATTATGCCTCCCTCCCTCTGCCTCTCCATGCCATTCCTGCTCCACCACCCCCCACCTCACTTCCTCCCCCTGACACACCGGCCTGGTGTCCATAGAGTCACAGACCTCACGTTGTAGCACGGTGCCTCGTGCCAGCAGGCTGCACGCTGCAGTAAGGTGCAGTGCGGTGCAGCAGACCTATGCAATACGGTGCCCGATTTTTCCTGTGGAGCGCACATTCTACTGCTGCTCCCTCATGTTTAAACTAGATATGTTTTAGGATATCTCAAAACGTTCCCCTGTGCTGCACCCCGTCTTCCCAGCATGGTATCTGTGAACCGCACACTCTTCTGCTCCTACCCTTGCTTTTCCCCATTACGCACCCCTCCCCTCCCCCCTCCCCACTCTCTCTCCCCCAGCATGGTGCCTGTGGACCGCACGCTGTATTTCTCCGCCCTGGGGTTTATAATTTATCTGTTGTGAGACATCTTACTTCCCATGCGCCACCCCACCTTTTCCCTCTCCCCTCCTCCCCCCACGGCATGGTGCGTGTGGGCCGCACGTTGTATTGCTCCGCCCTGGAGTTTACAAGATACATGTACCCCATTCCCCCCACCAACCCCTCCTCCCTCCCCAGCATGGTGCCTGTGGGCCGCACCCTGTACTGCTCCTCGCTGGCGTTGATAGTATATCTGTTGTGAGAGTCCTAAGCCGTTCCCCTGCGCCACACGCTCTCCTCCCCTCCCTCTTCTCCAGCATGGTGCCTGTGGACCGCGCACTCTACTGCTCCGCCCTGGCGTTTGACGAGCAGGCGGAGCTCATGGGCGCCATGGTGGGCGCCCTGCAACACCTCCCCTCTCTCCCCCTTCCCACCCCCCTCCCTCTTCCCACCCCCCTCCCTCTTCCCAGCATGGTCCCTGTGGACCGCACGCTCTATTGCTCCTCGCTGGCGTTTGACGAGCAGGCGGAGCTGATGGGCGCCATGGTGGGCGCCCTGCACGGCATGGGGATACCCGTGGAGCAGGTGGGGGGGGAGGGGGGGAGAGAGTGTGGCTAATTTGTGTGCAGGCATGGTCGTATGCTTGGGTTGTAGCTCATGGGCGCCATGGTGGCGGCTCAGCACGGCATGGACATTCCCGTGGAGCAGGTGGGGGGGGAGGGGGGGTGACGTTGGCATAGAACACGTGTGTGTGTATGTATGTGTGTGTCATGGAGTGCAGCTCATGGGGGCCATGGTGGGCGCTCTGCATGGCATGGGCATACCCGTGGAGCAGGTTGGGGGGCCGGGGGGGGAATGCAATGTGGGTATGGAGCATCGCGTGTATGTATGTGTATGTGTCATGGAGCTCATGGGCGCCAAGGTGGGCGCTCTGCATGGCATGGGCATCCCAGTGGAGAAGGTGAGAGGTGGCGGGAGGGGGGTGTGGGAGTGCCGCATCATGCGTGCAAGCATGGTAGTACCGTGTATGTATGTGCTATGGAGATGATGGCGGCATGGTAGTGCCGTGTATGTATGTGCTATGGAGATGATGGCGGCATGGTAGTGCCGTGTATGTATGTGCTATGGAGATGATGGCGGCATGGTAGTGCCGTGTATGTATGTGCTATGGAGATGATGGCGGCATGGTAGTGCCGTGTATGTATGTGCTATGGAGATGATGGCGGCATGGTAGTACCGTGTATGTATGTGCTATGGAGATTATGGCGGCATGGAGATGATGGAGTGTGGGCAGGTGGGAGGGAGTGTGGGCAGGTGGGAGGGAGTGTGGGCAGGTGGGAGGGAGTGTGGGCAGGTGGGAGGGAGTGTGGGCAGGTGGGAGGGAGTGTGGGCAGGTGGGAGGGAGTGTGGGCAGGTGGGAGGGAGTGTGGGCAGGTGGGAGGGAGTGTGGGCAGGTGGGAGGGAGTGTGGGCAGGTGGGAGGGAGTGTGGGCAGGTGGGAGGGAGAGTGGGCAGGTGGGAGGGAGTGTGGGCAGGTGGGAGGGAGAGTGGGCAGGTGGGAGGGAGTGTGGGCAGGTGGGAGGGAGTGTGGGCAGGTGGGAGGGAGTGTGGGCAGGTGGGAGGGAGTGTGGGCAGGTGGGAGGGAGTGTGGGCAGGTGGGAGGGAGTGTGGGCAGGTGGGAGGGAGTGTGGGTAGGTGGGAGGGAGTGTGGGCAAGTGGGAGGGAGAGTGGGCATGTTACTTGATCTGTGGGATGGGAAAGGGGGAATGACAAGCAGGGTCGTGATGACATGGGAAGACTATTGGTAGAGCCCAGCTTATATCGGCGTATACATTAGCCTCTTCCTCCCGCAATCTCCCACCCTCATTCCTTCACTCCCGCACTTCCCTTTTCTCCCACCCTCAGCTTCACCCAGAGTCGGGCGGCGGGCAGTTTGAGATAGCAGTGGGGCATGCAGCTGACGTGGCAGCAGCTGATAGGATCCTACTGGTGCGGGAAGCAATCTCTGGGGTGGTGCGGAGAGCAGCAGCAGCAGGGGCGGGGAGTGGGGAGGTCGAAGGCACGAGCAGCAAGAGGAGCAGCACACCCACTCATGTCACCTTCCTTCCACAGTCAGTTCCCGTAGCCTTACCCTTGCAACCGCCCACTCACAATCCTCCTTAAATGTTTTCCGCTTGCACCCCACCTCTTACAATCCTCCTCGTACAGTCCTCGTCTGAGCATCCTTCTCTTATAATCCCCGTGTTACAATCTTTCCCTCGCAATCCTCCTCTCACGTTGCTGCAAGGGTTTGTAGCGTCCATCCGCGTCTATGTTCACATTCAGTCTTGAGAAGTCTCAAAATCGAGTCTTGAGAAGTCTCAAAATCGAGTCTTGAGAAGTCTCAAAACTCAATCCTCCTCTCACATTGCTGCAAGGGTTAGCAGCGTCCATCCGCGTATATGTTCACATTCAGTCAACCCACTCGCCTCGCATGCCTCCGTGTCTCCTGTTCCTTGCTGAGCCATTCTTTCAGCATTCCTTATCTCACCGTGCCCCAAAACACAATCTCTAAAGTCGTTTCCAAACTCCCATCGTTCCGCATCCCGCCTTGTCCCAGAGTGTTCCCTCGCGATGCAGCCAATGGCAGCCATGTTCACGTCAGCATATGGCGGGAGGTCACCGGCGGGGCTGATGCATCATCAGCATCATCATCAGCAGCAACAACCTCGGCGGGTGCACCGATCGTGGTGTCAGAGGGTGGGCGCACGTACATCAACGCCTTCGCTGCAAGAGCTGGGAAAAGGCAGGCGAGAGAAGGCCAGGAGACAGAGCAGCACCGGGAACAGCAAGAGCAACAGCATGGCATGTCAGAGGAGGGGCAGCAGTTCATGGCAGGGGTGATGGCGCACCTGCCCTCCATCATGGCTCTCTCCTGCCCCCTGCCCAACAGGTACTGCCTCCTCGCTTTCACATACCTGCTTTCCCTCGTCGCTGCCAGTCATGACCGTCGCCTTGAGAGAACTCGAAAATCAACAGTGACTCCAATACTCAAACGTAACTTGAGAGAACTCGAAAATCAACAGTGACTCCAATACTCAAACGTAACTTGAGAGAACTCGAAAATCAACAGTGACTCCAATACGCAAACGTAACTTGAGAGAACTCGAAAATCAACAGTGACTCCAATACTCAAACGTAACTTGAGAGAACTCGAAAATCAACAGTGACTCCAATACTCAAACGTAACTTGAGAGAACTCGAAAATCAACAGTGACTCCAATACTCAAACGTAACTTGAGAGAACTCGAAAATCAACAGTGACTCCAATACTCAAACGTAACTTGAGAGAACTCGAAAATCAACAGTGACTCCAATACGCAAACGTAACTTGAGAGAACTCGAAAATCAACAGTGACTCCAATACGCAAACGTAACTTGAGAGAACTCGAAAATCAACAGTGACTCCAATACTCAAACGTAACTTGAGAGAACTCGAAAATCAACAGTGACTCCAATACTCAAACGTAACTTGAGAGAACTCGAAAATCAACAGTGACTCCAATACTCAAACGTAACTTGAGAGAACTCGAAAATCAACAGTGACTCCAATACTCAAACGTAACTTGAGAGAACTCGAAAATCAACAGTGACTCCAATACTCAAACGTAACTTGAGAGAACTCGAAAATCAACAGTGACTCCAATACTCAAACGTAACTTGAGAGAACTCGAAAATCAACAGTGACTCCAATACGCAAACGTAACTTGAGAGAACTCGAAAATCAACAGTGACTCCAATACTCAAACGTAACTTGAGAGAACTCGAAAATCAACAGTGACTCCAATACTCAAACGTAACTTGAGAGAACTCGAAAATCAACAGTGACTCCAATACTCAAACGTAACTTGAGAGAACTCGAAAATCAACAGTGACTCCAATACTCAAACGTAACTTGAGAGAACTCGAAAATCAACAGTGACTCCAATACTCAAACGTAACTTGAGAGAACTCGAAAATCAACAGTGACTCCAATACTCAAACGTAACTTGAGAGAACTCGAAAATCAACAGTGACTCCAATACTCAAACGTAACTTGAGAGAACTCGAAAATCAACAGTGACTCCAATACTCAAACGTAACTTGAGAGAACTCGAAAATCAACAGTGACTCCAATACTCAAACGTAACTTGAGAGAACTCGAAAATCAACAGTGACTCCAATACTCAAACGTAACTTGAGAGAACTCGAAAATCAACAGTGACTCCAATACTCAAACGTAACTTGAGAGAACTCGAAAATCAACAGTGACTCCAATACTCAAACGTAACTTGAGAGAACTCGAAAATCAACAGTGACTCCAATACTCAAACGTAACTTGAGAGAACTCGAAAATCAACAGTGACTCCAATACTCAAACGTAACTTGAGAGAACTCGAAAATCAACAGTGACTCCAATACTCAAACGTAACTTGAGAGAACTCGAAAATCAACAGTGACTCCAATACTCAAACGTAACTTGAGAGAACTCGAAAATCAACAGTGACTCCAATACTCAAACGTAACTTGAGAGAACTCGAAAATCAACAGTGACTCCAATACTCAAACGTAACTTGAGAGAACTCGAAAATCAACAGTGACTCCAATACTCAAACGTAACTTGAGAGAACTCGAAAATCAACAGTGACTCCAATACTCAAACGTAACTTGAGAGAACTCGAAAATCAACAGTGACTCCAATACTCAAACGTAACTTGAGAGAACTCGAAAATCAACAGTGACTCCAATACTCAAACGTAACTTGAGAGAACTCGAAAATCAACAGTGACTCCAATACTCAAACGTAACTTGAGAGAACTCGAAAATCAACAGTGACTCCAATACTCAAACGTAACTTGAGAGAACTCGAAAATCAACAGTGACTCCAATACTCAAACGTAACTTGAGAGAACTCGAAAATCAACAGTGACTCCAATACTCAAACGTAACTTGAGAGAACTCGAAAATCAACAGTGACTCCAATACTCAAACGTAACTTGAGAGAACTCGAAAATCAACAGTGACTCCAATACTCAAACGTAACTTGAGAGAACTCGAAAATCAACAGTGACTCCAATACTCAAACGTAACTTGAGAGAACTCGAAAATCAACAGTGACTCCAATACTCAAACGTAACTTGAGAGAACTCGAAAATCAACAGTGACTCCAATACTCAAACGTAACTTGAGAGAACTCGAAAATCAACAGTGACTCCAATACTCAAACGTAACTTGAGAGAACTCGAAAATCAACAGTGACTCCAATACTCAAACGTAACTTGAGAGAACTCGAAAATCAACAGTGACTCCAATACTCAAACGTAACTTGAGAGAACTCGAAAATCAACAGTGACTCCAATACTCAAACGTAACTTGAGAGAACTCGAAAATCAACAGTGACTCCAATACTCAAACGTAACTTGAGAGAACTCGAAAATCAACAGTGACTCCAATACTCAAACGTAACTTGAGAGAACTCGAAAATCAACAGTGACTCCAATACTCAAACGTAACTTGAGAGAACTCGAAAATCAACAGTGACTCCAATACTCAAACGTAACTTGAGAGAACTCGAAAATCAACAGTGACTCCAATACTCAAACGTAACTTGAGAGAACTCGAAAATCAACAGTGACTCCAATACTCAAACGTAACTTGAGAGAACTCGAAAATCAACAGTGACTCCAATACTCAAACGTAACTTGAGAGAACTCGAAAATCAACAGTGACTCCAATACGCAAACGTAACTTGAGAGAACTCGAAAATCAACAGTGACTCCAATACTCAAACGTAACTTGAGAGAACTCGAAAATCAACAGTGACTCCAATACTCAAACGTAACTTGAGAGAACTCGAAAATCAACAGTGACTCCAATACTCAAACGTAACTTGAGAGAACTCGAAAATCAACAGTGACTCCAATACTCAAACGTAACTTGAGAGAACTCGAAAATCAACAGTGACTCCAATACTCAAACGTAACTTGAGAGAACTCGAAAATCAACAGTGACTCCAATACTCAAACGTAACTTGAGAGAACTCGAAAATCAACAGTGACTCCAATACTCAAACGTAACTTGAGAGAACTCGAAAATCAACAGTGACTCCAATACTCAAACGTAACTTGAGAGAACTCGAAAATCAACAGTGACTCCAATACTCAAACGTAACTTGAGAGAACTCGAAAATCAACAGTGACTCCAATACTCAAACGTAACTTGAGAGAACTCGAAAATCAACAGTGACTCCAATACTCAAACGTAACTTGAGAGAACTCGAAAATCAACAGTGACTCCAATACTCAAACGTAACTTGAGAGAACTCGAAAATCAACAGTGACTCCAATACTCAAACGTAACTTGAGAGAACTCGAAAATCAACAGTGACTCCAATACTCAAACGTAACTTGAGAGAACTCGAAAATCAACAGTGACTCCAATACTCAAACGTAACTTGAGAGAACTCGAAAATCAACAGTGACTCCAATACTCAAACGTAACTTGAGAGAACTCGAAAATCAACAGTGACTCCAATACTCAAACGTAACTTGAGAGAACTCGAAAATCAACAGTGACTCCAATACTCAAACGTAACTTGAGAGAACTCGAAAATCAACAGTGACTCCAATACTCAAACGTAACTTGAGAGAACTCGAAAATCAACAGTGACTCCAATACTCAAACGTAACTTGAGAGAACTCGAAAATCAACAGTGACTCCAATACGCAAACGTAACTTGAGAGAACTCGAAAATCAACAGTGACTCCAATACTCAAACGTAACTTGAGAGAACTCGAAAATCAACAGTGACTCCAATACTCAAACGTAACTTGAGAGAACTCGAAAATCAACAGTGACTCCAATACTCAAACGTAACTTGAGAGAACTCGAAAATCAACAGTGACTCCAATACTCAAACGTAACTTGAGAGAACTCGAAAATCAACAGTGACTCCAATACTCAAACGTAACTTGAGAGAACTCGAAAATCAACAGTGACTCCAATACTCAAACGTAACTTGAGAGAACTCGAAAATCAACAGTGACTCCAATACTCAAACGTAACTTGAGAGAACTCGAAAATCAACAGTGACTCCAATACTCAAACGTAACTTGAGAGAACTCGAAAATCAACAGTGACTCCAATACTCAAACGTAACTTGAGAGAACTCGAAAATCAACAGTGACTCCAATACTCAAACGTAACTTGAGAGAACTCGAAAATCAACAGTGACTCCAATACTCAAACGTAACTTGAGAGAACTCGAAAATCAACAGTGACTCCAATACTCAAACGTAACTTGAGAGAACTCGAAAATCAACAGTGACTCCAATACTCAAACGTAACTTGAGAGAACTCGAAAATCAACAGTGACTCCAATACTCAAACGTAACTTGAGAGAACTCGAAAATCAACAGTGACTCCAATACTCAAACGTAACTTGAGAGAACTCGAAAATCAACAGTGACTCCAATACTCAAACGTAACTTGAGAGAACTCGAAAATCAACAGTGACTCCAATACTCAAACGTAACTTGAGAGAACTCGAAAATCAACAGTGACTCCAATACTCAAACGTAACTTGAGAGAACTCGAAAATCAACAGTGACTCCAATACTCAAACGTAACTTGAGAGAACTCGAAAATCAACAGTGACTCCAATACTCAAACGTAACTTGAGAGAACTCGAAAATCAACAGTGACTCCAATACTCAAACGTAACTTGAGAGAACTCGAAAATCAACAGTGACTCCAATACTCAAACGTAACTTGAGAGAACTCGAAAATCAACAGTGACTCCAATACTCAAACGTAACTTGAGAGAACTCGAAAATCAACAGTGACTCCAATACTCAAACGTAACTTGAGAGAACTCGAAAATCAACAGTGACTCCAATACTCAAACGTAACTTG